TGCCTACTCACAGGATGAGTGATGCTGCCAGATCTCATCTTTGTAGACAATTTCTGTCGAGTGATGCTACAATACGTATGAAGAATACCCAGCATTGTACTTATAAAATGTTTAAGTCCTACCTCGTCATCCATTGAGACAACTTACATCCCATGCATGTTTAAAAATATAAAATATTTCGATAAATTTTACGTTGAATAATGAAGAATTCTGATAAACAACTGCAGCTCAGTATTATATATTTACCTAAATCGTCTTTATTCATATAATTTTAAAATTTCCAAGTAAATCAAGCATAGCCTTACCAGTTTTATAAAAGTTCTTGACAGTAGGAGCAACGAATTAGAACTGCGACTAACGCATTGGTAAAATATGTAAACAATACTGTAAACTAAAATGAATACTTACACTAAATGATAAAGTTATGTACGGTTTACTTAAAAGTTACAAAATCCAACCTTACTAAGCTTTACCCTATTACATTTATTTCGTATTAGTCTTACCTAATTTAATATAAAAAATACCTGGAAGAGGTATCATGAATATACTGATATAAGATGAAAATATTGTCAATGAATGATGGGTTGGGAAGGGAAGTGATTGTACGCTACACAACATTAGTCCACTTAAAAGATAAAATGTCTGTGTTTACACATATGTCTAAAAGTAAACAAGATTCTATGTACTATGTTTTGAGAAAATAAGCCGCTTCATGTTGTTTAATTTAAACTTAACGAGGACATATCACAAGTCATAAATTTCTCACCCAATCTCGAATGGTGCAACTTTATTTAACAATAACTTTAAAAGCTCTCACATTCTGCTTTGTAATCTAAGCTCTTTATATAATTACAACTAACTCAACATATCCTCATTTTTTTTGCACGTGTTATAATGCGTAAATTTTCTACACGATCAGAGCAACGACAAAAATTCTACACATTATTAGTTATTTTAGGTTTCGTTCAGGTTAACTGAACCTAACATAAATTATGCAGTAACGAAATTACATAGAACAGGCGGCTTATGTCTAACAGCGAGGAAAACATCGACCCACTTAGGTGACCCCTACACTCTGTGAATAGCAACAGTAGGAATAGTAACAGTAGCTACTCATATGACGATAAGATATATAAACAATGCTCTTGGATATAAATATTTATCTTAAGAATCCATGTCAAGTGTTACACAAATTATCGTCACACTGTCAGTGTATATACTGGTGGAAATCTTATGCGACTCATTTGATGAGATACTGTCGGCCCGACACCTACAAAAGACTTTTTTCTTCGTCAAGGAGGAGGGGAAGTTGGAAGAGAGCTCTTCCTGACGCAGATCTTAGTCAATGATGACCTCAGTGATTAAGCAGCCGTTGTCGTCCGTCACCTGCAGAAGGGTGATGCGTTCATCAGGAAACAATTAAGGGTTCATGACAGATTTCTTTATCCAATGATGACCTGCTCAATGATTAAGGAATCACTGCATTAATGATGCTGGGTCTTAGTGATTAATCAAAGGCTATCGTCCCGGAGGTACGTATCAGTGAGCAACTGCTTGCTTAACGCAGAAAGGTTTTCCAAACATTTACAAAACAAAGAATAGCATTTTGTGTCCTAGGATATTGCATGAGGAATACTACGAGACTGGTCACCTGAAGATACGCTACCACAAAGATTATTATTATAATAAAAAAGAAGCGCTAAACCCTAAGGGTTATAAAGCGCAGGTTACCACAAAGAAAACAGTGAAATAAAATTTTGCCAGTTTTCAGATATGTTTGGCAAATTAAATTACTGTACTACGTAAATTTTAGCAAGCGTATATTAAGGTGCTATGCTAGTTTGGGATAAATTTTAGCTAAATATCGCTGTTTAAATTGAGGAAGAGGAAAAGGGATGGGATTAATCTTCAGCAAACCAGACTAAGAAGGTATTTGATAGCGATAGCACACGAGTCCAAACACATAACACATTCATGGAAACCACAAGTTAAGCATGCCTCTGCATTTGCCTTGTGTTAAGACTACTATATTTGCGCTTGCTGAGTGGCAAGTATGATCTGACACTCCTTGCAAGGCGTGTGATGCTAATTAGTGTTCAGGTGTTGTAATCTATAATTATTTTATTACGTTACTATTCCTACACGATTCCCTACGTCAATTTCTCAATGTTCTTTGTACAACTGTACTATTTTCTGTGTTTTAAGTTAGGTTATAGTAAGTTATATAAACCAGTAAAGACGTATATCTGACCACAAATAGCAAATTAAATGAAACGGCCGCGACACGTCTGGCAACGTGATGGCGAAAATGGCTTAGATATTCACATCTAATTCAAATTGGAGATGAAAGTAGACATGTCGCTCCGTCTTGTTCAAGACGTTGAGAAATACAGTAGACCTCGCAAAACTCCACCATCGATAGATATGTGTCTCTGTTTACCGGTGCGTGACACGGCGTCATACTAAGCTTTGATAGCTCGACATTCAGCGCCATAAAAATAAATGACTACTATATTCCCAAAGTAACAAAATGGACAAGAAATACTTATTCCATGGTGTACATAGGTTGTAAACTATTATCCGAGTTCCACCGAGTAAAAGTCGTAAACTGCAAACTGCCTACTGGTTACACAATTTCTCCCCCCCCCCCCCTCCTTCCCCACTTTCAGACTTTTAACCCAGTTTGCTACTGAAACTCAATTAAAAAAAGTTTTCATATTTTATAGTAACGTTATTATCTAGATTTATGATATACAGACAAAGTAATTTAATACAAGTGGTTTTATTTGCAATATGTATATACAATGACAAAAAGACCGTTAGCTGATTAATATTAACCTATATTTATTATCTATAAAAGGTTATTGCTATTTAAGCAACACAGTTAAATGTAACTAAACTGTAAATACAAGAGGAATACAAACATTTGAAAAATCCTATCAAATTATATTGCGATTTTGGCTGAAATAGCAACGAAAAAAATATACTTCACTGTGTTTGTTTATTATTGAATTATTGTAAATTTACCTTATATATGTTTAGTTGGATTAGGCTAAATTAAATTGAGATTGTTATAATAAGGTTAGGTAAACTTTCTAAGGTTCTTTTGGTACAAAATTTCTAACTCTTACATTAACATAAATGATAAAAAATATATCTTTAAACGTATAAGAGAAATTTTTAGAAAGGACTTAATTTGAAATGAGTTCTTGCTAACTGACCAATTTGGCACAACATATATATATATATATATATATATATATATATATATATATATATATATATATATATATATATACAAAGAAAGATCGCAGTCAGCAGGATTCGAAACTACTACTGAAGATGGTCAAGATTCCCAGGCAGCGATCTAATCAACTCGGCTATACAAATGCCACAGAGACTGGGCAGCCTGGTTCACAAGCCATGTTTCTTTCCCAGCCCGGGCACGTCAGTGAGCCTCAAACATGGATTTAAGCTATTTCAATCTCCTCCTCTATGTTCTGACCTCTCAAGCGATTTTCCGAGTAGTAGTTTCGAATCCTGCTGACTGCTATCTTGTTTGTATATACCCGCTTGTTTCTGCGTGGTGCACTGATATAAAAATCGCTTGAGAGGTCAGACCATACAGGAGGAGATTGAAATAGCTTGAATCCATGCTTGAGGCTCACTGACGTGCCCAGGCTGGGAAAGAAACATGGCTTGTGAACCAGGCTGCCCAGTCATGTGGCATTTGTGTAGCCGAGTGGATTAGAGCGCTGCCTGGGAATCTTGACCATCTTCAGTATTAGTTTCGAATCCTGCTGACTGCGATCTTTCTTTGTATATACCCGCTTGTTTCTGCGTGATGCACTGACATATATAAGTAGTACTGAAGGCGGCTGAGCTGTCCCTGCGGCTGTACGGTCTCCTTTCCTGAGCGGTCCCTCCTCTGAGCGGACTCCTTCCGCGCCCGCGTCCCCGCCCGACCGGCGCCCTGCCCGCGCGCCCGCCCTCGCGCCCGCCCGCGCCTTCTGCAGCGTCGTCCGGATCGGCCCCGCTCCCCGAATTTTTTTCCGATTTTTTTCGAATTTTTTTTGAATTTCATTTTCTTGTGCTCTCCATCTCCTCGGATCAATTTTTTTGGATTCCCCCTATGGGGTTTTGAATTTCTTGTGCTCTCCATCTCCTTGGATCAAGTTTTTGGGTTTCCTCCTATGGGTACCCCTCCCACCACACTTCCACCCCAAATATTCCTGCTCCATCTCCTCGGATAAACACCCTCTAAACCATGTATTTCTCCTCCACTTCCTTGGATTCCCCCCCCTATGGGGTTTCGAATTTCTTATGATCTCCTCGGATCAAGTTTTTCTCGATATCAATAATACAAAGATTTTCCCCCCACACCACCCCCATCCCAAAATTTCTGCTCCAACTCCTTGGATCAAGTTTTTCTCGATATCAATAATACAAAGACTCCAACTCCTTGGATCAAGTTTTTCTAGATATCAATAATACAAAGACTCCACTTCCTCGAATCAAGTTTTTTGGATTCCCCCCTCTGGGGGTAAGCATTCAAAATGGACTCCCACTTGCATCCCAAATTCCCTGCTCCAATTCCTCGGATCAAGTTTTTCTCGATATCAATAATACAAAGATTTTCCCCCCACACCTCCCACCACCCACTTCTACCCCAAGTATTTCTCCTCCATCTCCTTGGATCAAGTTTTTTCTCGATATCAATAATACAAAGACTCCATCTCCTCGGATCAAGTTTTTTCGGATTCCCCCCTCTGGGGGTAAGCATTCAAATGAACTCCTCCTATGGGGCATGATACTTTCTCTTACTACAGGTCTAAACAAGTGTGACGTCACCCCACCTGTGTTTACTCGGCGGTCAGTGACGTCACGTGATGACCTCAAACACACAGGCTGAATCTTGTCGAGCAAACATTAAAATGCAGGATAACAGTAATACACAATATTTTCATTTATTTATTTATTATACAACCAATGCATTTCATATACATTTCTGGTAATACAAAAAAAAAAAAAATACAAATCATTGACTAAAATCAACATAGAGTAATTCTTTTTCTCTTGAAGAAATTCTGTGCATTTTGTTCTGGATCATCTTCGTCTTCATCTGATATATAATAAACTTCTGGGGAGGATGATGGTGGGGAAGCCGGTGGATAATTTATGGGGGAAGACGGGGAATCGTCAACAACACATGAACTAGGTTGGGAATTTGTCATGAAATATTCCATCTCACTCCATACACATTTATCACAATAATAACTACTGGCACATTCTCCTCTCATATTAATCTCTTCATTCATATTATTATTAGTGCTACAAGTAGCGGTAGCGGCATCCACATGAGACTGGGGAGAAGGTCCGATCTCGACGTGGGTAGGAGTTACAATGTCCTGGATAAAAGCGTTAACATCAACTCCATGAGTAGGAGGCACATTCTCAACATCCACATGAGGCCGGGGAGAAGACGGGATCTCAACGTTGGTGGGGGGGGGGGGGGCAGCAGCATCTCCATACGGGTGGGTAGGAGGCGAGGTGGATCTCGCTCCTAACAAACCCATCAACTCAAAAATCATTTGCTCCTGTCGGATTTGATTTGCGCGAATAAGTTCCAACATCCGCATTATATTCACATTTGGCAAAGAAAAAAAAAATCCTGATTAGAAGAATAAGGTGCACCTTTAATTGCATTAAAGTACAAAAGTTTTTTACTGGTTAATACATACAGTTCTAAAATCATTTATGTGTAAAAGAATAAAAGATTTTTCACTATTACAATAAGATTCACTTGGTTAATGAACAAAATCACTTACCATTTACCGCAGGAGGATGTTGGTTAATCCAACATACACAGGGATACTGTCTTCCCTCCTCGTAGACACCTCCAACGGGATACTAAATTGGATTCATCCTTGACCCGACTTGTTCTTGAATTACAGAAGATCCAAACAGCGACCCCAGCACGGGCATTTTATACCAGTATTGTGACCTTTGCTCCGCCTCTAAACGCCTCAGGCTCTACCCACCGTACGATAATTTCAATATTTTACACAGATTTTCATAATTCCACGTTGAATTATTAGCAAATACACTTGAACATGAGGGCATATTGAAATGCCCATATGCATATTTCAATATAAATTGATCATTCTTTAATTTATTTCTACTAAAATCTTTAAATTAATATGGTATAATTTTCTTTACGCTATAATTTGTAAACTTATACACCAAATATATAGCATACAAGCCGCACACCAATGATTTTTCATGTTGAATCCTCTGATTAATACCGTTCATGAAATTTCTCTTGTATATAATTTTCTCATATATATTTGTATAATGTTTTAAATCCACCCCGAAACTATCTAAATATATTAATATGTGTTTGTTCACATATATAGTAATCCAATGACCCATATTTTTATCTTGATCGTTCAATAAATTAATGATGAAAATTATCGGTTTATCTTTTATCCTCATAATAACTTCATTTATATTATTTGTGGCAAAACATCCCAAATACGAGGCATATCTTCTCGTATTATGTTTCAAGGCAATATTTATCTCTTCACAATTCATGGTCTATACTCTTGTATGCACTATCACTGTTCTATTTTCATTTATATTTAAAATCGCATTAGTTTCACCAAACATCAGACAAATTCTATTCTCATCTTTCGGTTTACCAAATGTCATATCTATTCTCAAATTACCATTCTTCTCGACAGATATAGCATTCTTGACCTGTTCACTTCTCAGGTTAACACCTAATATAGTTCTACCTTGGAGAAAACTCTTATTGTGATCTTTTTACTTTTGTTGTGAAAAATATTTATCGTAAAAAAAATGTGTTAGTCATTCGAGAAAGATATTTGTTCTATTCATTAAAATTTTAATTCGTAATATGTAAAAACCGAGAACGGTGAAAGATTTTGTTCTATTCATTGAAATCTTAATACGTAAAAATATTTTTGGGTTATGAATTGGATATACTTTTTCCTCTGCAGGAAATACACCTGGTACTGTTGTGAATGAAACTGAGAGTAATGAAGCACAGCATGGAGGTGCGACGGGGAATGAAGATGAGAGTGCAGGTAGTTCTACTAGTGTTGGTACCTCACAGCGCGGAGGTGCAGCGGGAGGTGTGGATACTTCTGTCCCCATTAATGAAGATGATGAGAGAGCAACTACCTCACATGACGTGTCTGACAGTAATGTCGCACACAATAGTGGAGGTGAAGATGAGAGACCAGAAATTATCACATACATCCAGAATTTTAGAGGTAGGCATACAGTGAGGAAATATAGTGTTCCTTCAACTTATAACAGGGAGTTAAGAATGTATTTACATGCATATAGGGATTATTTTATAGATCAGATGCGAGATATGTATGATAGATCACCTCTAGCAATGTCGCTCAGAATCCACCCGATTATAGTTATAAGGACATTACGTCAAAACATATCGGGTGATGATCAAAATGGACAATTTGCGATAAATTTAGCGTATGAGTTAGTAAGTGAAGAGGAAATCTCTGAAGTATTTGATCGATGGGTGGGAACGATATTAGAAAGATACGAGACAGAGTTGCAAAATCAGGAAGGATCTGGCTGGATCATAGATCAAATCGAATCTTTCAGTATTGAATACGTTAAAGTAGAATTCAGAGTACAAGTAGGATCATATGTGGCATATCCCAAGAAACTGCGAGGGAACCAATATGTATTTAATCCAGAGATTAATGATGAGTTATGTGTACTGCGTGCTTTTGCTGCCTATCAATGTCATAAGAAGAACATGTCACGGAAACATAGTTGCAAAGCAGTTAATACTAAGAAAGGATGTCTTAATCATGCAAAATCTTCTATAGATGATTTTCCCATAACACGTGATAAGTTAGGTATATTAGAGAAGGAAAATAAAATATCATTATATGTTTATCAATTAAGAAAGGATCAAGGTGGGACATTTGTGGCCATGTGTCGTAAGGGGAATAAGAAATATAAGGACATCATGTGTGCGTTATTGTTGAATGAAAGTCATTTGGTTTTAATCAAAGATTTTGACGGGTATGTTAGAACGATAATGAAGGATCATGGTGTAAAGAAGCATTGTCATAGTTGTTTGATGAAGTTGAATACACAGGAAGAGTTAGATATCCACAAAGATGGATGTAAAATCAATCAAATTCTCGTATTCCCCTCGAAAGGAACAACAGTGCACTTTAAAAATTTTAGTCATACACATTCCAACGAATATATCGGTGTATTTGATTTCGAATGTGCATTAGACATCACTCTCCCGGCAGGTAAAATTGAGTCTCGTCATAAAGCCATTGCCTATTGTTATATTATATTTGATCGCAAAGGAGAAATAGTGTGTATGAAGAGTTATAAGGGGGAGGATGCTGTTAATCATTTCATTTTAAATGTTAGTGGTGAATAGACTAAAATAAAGTTTAGAAGAGAGTACCATGTAATCCATATGACAGAGGAGGATAAGATGAGACATGATTCTCAGATCACTTGTGAATTATGTGGTAACTCCTTCAAAAATACCCAAGACAAACGTAAACATCATGACCATACTTTAAAATTCAATAATTATATTGGAGCCTATTGTGGTCGTTGCAATTTGCAGTGTAAAGATAAGAGTGAGAAATTATTACTTTTTTGCCATAACATGTCGTATGATTTAGGAATAATTTTAAAGGAATTGCAGGTTGATAAATATGAAATTGAACTTCATTCGAAACAAGGACTCAAATTCTTGAAAGTAGACATAGGTAAGGTTAGGTTTCAAGATTCTCTGTCTTTATTGAATGGATCTCTTTCCACTTTAGCAGATCAGCATATCAAGGCTGGTAAATCACTGAAATATACAGAGGCTATTCTGAAAGATGTGCCTCAGGATGTCTTACCTTTATTATGTAAAGGAAAACAAGTTTTGTGTTATGATTATATTGATAGTTTAAAGAAACTCGATGAAACAAAATTACCGAGTAAAGAAAATTTTTTTAATTCTTTGAGAAATAGTACTATTAGCCAGGAAGATTATGATAATGATGTTTTGAAAGTATTTGGCTTGGGTAAATGTAAGACTTTAGGAGATTACTTGATGTTATATCTCAAGACAGATGTTGGATTGTTAGCCGATGTCTTCATGGAGTGGCGTAAAACACTCAAAGATATTTATAAGCTAGATGTTAGTAATTATATAAGTTTACCATCATTCAGTTGGGATGCATTCCTCTTGAAAACTAATGTAAAATTAGATATGATATATTCTCATGAGTTATATGACTTGATTAAAAGGAATCTCAGAGGAGGGTTTACATGTGCAATTAATCAGTATACTAAAGCAGATAATCCCTTAATTACTCCCAATTTTGATGCTGAGAGTGGAATGGGTACTCATATTTTATATCTAAATTTTAATTCTTTGTATGCTAGTGCGATGGTTGAAGCTCTTCCACAGAATGGTATCAGAAAATTATCGAATGAGGAGAAGATTGCTTTCCTCGATGTGGGATTAAGTAATGTTTCGTGTGAAGGTCAAAAAGGATATTGGATAGAATGTGTTACCAAGCCCATGTCCCCTGAGGTAGCTAGACGCACTGATGAACTTCCTTTGATATTATCACACATGAATATATCAGAAGAGATGTTATCGTCTTATTGTGAATCTACATTGAAAAATGAAGGTAGAAAGACCCCCAAATCTAATGCGAAATTAGTTGCTAGTCATTTACCTCAGAAAAATTATTTGATCAGTCTAGATTTGTTACAATTATTACTGGAATTTGGGTTAGAGGTGGAAAAGGTTCATGCTGAAATATATGAATATACTCAGTCAAAATTTTTAGAACCTTTCATAACAACTAATATTGCACAGAGAACAGCCACACGATGCCCTATCAAGTCAATAGCTTTCAAATCAACTAATAATGTCATATATGGGAAATCATTGCTGAATATTACAAAGTATGCTGAATATTATAGATATATCAATAATGAGAAAGCATTTGTTAGAGCGGCTAAAGATCCTTTCTTAAAAAATATCACACATTTGAATCAAGAGAGCGTGATTTGTACTTTCAACAAAGAGAAATTAAATTTAAAAACAACCACTTTATCTCGGTTTTAAAATTTCTTGAGATTGCTAAAAAAAAATTGTATCATTTTTGGCATAAAATTTTAAAACAGCATTATGGTGATGATGTAAGACTTCTGTATACCGATACCGACTCGTATATTTTTAGTTTGAAATGCAAAGATTTGTACACCGAGTTAAAAAGTGAACCTTTGTTAAGATATATGGATTTTTCAAATTTCAGTCCTGATCATCCTTTATATGATAATAGTAGAAAAGGTGAGCTGGGGTTATTGAAATCAGAAATGTGTGATAATCATATTAGCGAGTTGATAGCACTGAAAGCTAAAATGTATTCTGTAAAGATTGCTGGAAGATCAACTACTGTCAGTAGAGCCAAGGGTATCCCTTCACATTTTATGCCATTATTAATTCATGCAAGATACAAGAATGTTTTAACAAATGTAGATAGGGAATTATTCACGTGTAAGTCTATAAGTAACGTAAAAGGTGAAATATGTACAGTAAGAATTAACAAGAGAGGCTTGTCAGCCTTTGATGATAAAAGGTATCATTTGAATCCTAATGAATCCTTGGCTTATGGACACCCTGATATTCCACCATCTAAACGTAGGAGAATGGAGTGATTCCCATGTTGTATTACCAGAAATGTATATGAAATGCACTGGTTGTATAATAAATAAATAAATGAAAATATTGTGTATTAGTGTTATCCTGCATTTTAATGTTTGGTAGACAAGATTCAGCCTGTGTTTTTGAGGTCATCACGTGACGTCATTGACCGCCGAGTAGACACAGGTGGGGTGACGTCACACTTGTTTAGACCTGTAGTAAGAGAAAGT